AATCATCTATTGTAGACTGGGACTAAGTCCCAGTCTACAATAGATGATTTAAGCCCTAAGCTTTAAGAAATTGGCCAATCACGGTCAAGTATGAGAAGAATGCGCGACTGTGATTAGTCAATTTCTTAAGGCTTAGGGCTTAAATCTCTATTGTAGACTGGGACTTATGGCCGCGTTCAGCAGACACAACTGTTGAGTGAGCGCTCAGTATAATTGGTTAATACTTTTAGATCCAGCCAATAAATATTTAGGACTCTCTGGAGTCTCTAGTGTCACTGCCTTGACGAACTCCGAAGGAGGAAGACGCTCGTCGCGCGTAGAACAGCGCGATTGCCTCAATAGCACGTGTCGTGACGAGACATTGTGCAATTCGCGGACCAACTTATCGAGGGATCCGGTCATGTCTGCGGGATTCGTGGAGGGTCAATTCAGTGACGCCGAGGAGGGCGAACAGCCCCCGGAGTAAGTTCCGTGCATTTAGCTCGCATCCTTGACTCTCCAAGGAGTAACGAGGCTCAAGCCTCGACCCACGATGTACTCTCTCTGCGTCTAGGATGATTCTATTTTATATAAGCAAATCGAAACGCTTACAAATTTGTCGACGACTGTACAGTGTATGATATACAGTTTATCCGCTTGCGCAAATTTTTTAAATACATTAATTGACTACAAAATAGAATGTTTCTAGACGCGAAGAGCACACTAGGCTTGGAGCCTCGATCTACAATGTGCTCTTTGCGTCTAGGATCATTCTATTTAATATAAGCGAATCAAGACGCTTAGAAAGTTTGTCAAGAATGTACAATGTATCATCTTGCACAAAACTTTTTAACATTTACCGGCTACAAAATTAAATATTTCTGCAAAGAGCACATTGTAGATTCGAGGCTTCACCAGCGTTGCCTAAGTTTGGTCTTAGTTTAAAAAAAAATTCATTCTTTGTTTCTTAATTGGACTTGTTTTCTATTGCTGCACCGGTGAACTAGTGCAGTAAGCTAAAATGAGAAAAATATACTTGTGCTCACTCTAATTTATTGCACTAGTTCACCAGTGCAGTATTAGAAAACAAGCCTATTATCTGCTTGGGGGGAAACAAAGGTCGAGTTAAGCTACATTGGTGAAACCGGGACTAAATGTGTCTATAAACGGCGACTCTCCCATTGGCGAAGCCATTATTTACGTTGCATCGTTTCCAACAGGCAGAACACGTTCAAGGGAACGCCGTTGTTCGACGCGAATATGAAGAAGCCGCCTGAAAAAGAAATGGCTAGACTGAACATCACGGGCAACGAAGATAACGACGAAGACAGCGACGGCGATGACGTTACGGTGAATCGTTACTGTTGCAACTACGATTTGGACGAGAGGAAGAATGCCGTCGTAAAGACCAACTTGCAGCGACCCAACACCCAGAACGTGTCTACGAAGCTAACGAATTATCAGCCCAAGTGCAAGCTGCTGTCCCGTTACGCGAACAAGATTAATTTGGAGAAACACGCGGGCCCGTCGTTGCCAGACAACGTGGCCAACGTGCTGATCGAGAGCGACAAGAAGATGGACAAAAATCGCGCGAGGACGAAAGACAAGAGCGATCACGCGACGATCGAGAACGTACTGGATTCGCGCATTAGGTACAACCTGTACGATATGTTCGCGCAGGGCGTGCTGAAGGAGCTACAAGGCTGTATCTCGACCGGGAAGGAGGCCAACGTTTATTACGGCAGGTCGCCGGAGGGAGACGAGGTCGCCATCAAGATATATCGAACGTCCGTCCTGGCGTTTAAGAATCGGGACAAGTACATCAAGGGCGATTACCGCTTCAAACATGTGCACTCGCTGCACAATCCGCGCAAGATGGTGAAGCTCTGGGCGAAGAAGGAGTTCGACAATTTGAATCGCTTGATGGAGGGCGACGTGCGTGCGCCGCGGCCGATCAAAAGCAACGATCACATAGTGGTGATGGAGTTTCAGGGCTTGGACGGCTGGGCGGCGCCCAAGCTGAAGGACGTCGTGCTCACGGACGCCAAGTCTAGGACGTTGTACAGAGAGTGCATCGAGATTATGTGGAAGATGTACAACAGGTGCAAGCTCGTTCACGCCGACTTGAGCGAGTACAATATACTCTACCACAACGGATCGATCGTGGTCATTGACGTGTCGCAGGCCGTGGACCGCGACCACGACGGTGCAATGGAATTCCTTCGAAAAGACTGTGATAACATTACAGGTACGACTTTTCGACGTTCCCGCTGGAAGTTAAAAACAAAAAATTGAAGAAACATGCCCGATGCATTGGTATTTTCAGTATTTTTCAGAAAGCACAACGTGAACGTGATGCCGCTTCAGTCGCTGTTTGACTTCATAACGGATCCGACGGTAAACGAGGATAACATGGACGAGTACTTGGACATGCGGATGCGGGAGACGGAGCAAGAGAAAGATTCGCAGCAACAGCAGGTGGACGAGGCGGTGTTTAAGCAAGCGTACATTCCTCAGAGATTGACTCAGGTACCGGCGACCACTGCAAACGTATCGCGCAGCGTGTAATCTTTATTCTGTTATTGTTTGTCACGCTTCTGGTGTCCATTCCGTAGGTGGTCGATGTGGAACGCGATATCAATCTCGCGAAATCCGGAAAGGATTTGATTTACAAGACACTGTTGGGCCTGAAGGCGGACTTGTCCAAGCCCGCGGAAATACCGGAGATCCTCGCGAACAAGGACAAGGACAGCAAAGGCGTGAAGGAGAAATGCGACGCTCGCACCTCTTCCGAGGCCAGCGACGATTCTGACAGCGGGAGCGAGACGGACAGCGAGGATAACAATAAAACTAAATTCGTAAATTCGGCTAGGCCCAGAAACGAGAGTCCCGAAAGTAGAAAGGTGTGTATTGTGCATCTCTCTCTGCGCAACTACGTGTCATTTTCACTAAATTGATCGCTTTGACTTTAAGGCGCGCAAGAAGGCAGTCAAGGAACAGCAGGCGGAGAAGCGAAAATCTAAGATAAAAAAGCACGTGAAGAAACGCAAGATAAAAGTGTCGAGAGGAGGGAAGTAGATGCCCACGTGTAGGAAAGAGTATAAGAATATTATGCATTGTACATACAATATTGTACAATATTGTACATTGGTATTCATTAGCAATCGTTTAAGATCTTTTAGCATATTTAAGAAAAAAAAGTACAAAAACCAATAGGACAAGATTATTTAGAAGAGTGAATAGAATGCAATTTGACAAAATACATGTATCAAGTACTTTTATTTTGTCTAGTACTTTTTCCTTTGTTTCGTCATTTATCTCTTGCCGCGAGCGAGAGAGCGGCGCCACAGTCGCGTGGAGTGTAAGTGCCCATCTACAATAGAGATTTAAACCCTAAGCCTTAAAAATTGACCAATCACTGTCGAGTGTGAGTAGAATACGCGACTGTGATTGGTCAATTTCTTAGACTGTAGATTGGGACTAGAGAGCACCATCTGACGCTCGATTGACCGGAGCATGTTCGGGAATGTCGAATTTCAAAAACACCGACTGCCGCTGTCAATCGTCAACGTGAAAGGGTGATATGTGCGACGTTGTCGTACGTATCGGAGATCAGTTTCGAAATGGAGGGACTGCTAGGTATCGTCTGAGTTGAGAGAAGAGAAATGTCGCTCTTGAACGCCGAGTCAGAGTGACATTTTGACATCCGCGGCCGCACACGTATGTAAGCGAATAGGCAGGAATGCCTGGACATTTCTATGTTTATAGAATACATTAGAGAAATGTCCAGGCACTCCTGTCTGCCTGTGTGCACTAGGAATCGCCGATATCTTTCCACACGAATTTGTGCACGTATCGACACATTTGTACATTTTGCATATACATACGTGAAAAATGTATATGCCATGTGTCCCACACGTGCCTAAATTCATGTGGGAAGGCATCGTTGATTCCTAGAGTAAGGTCCGCTATTAAGAGACGAGTTCCCATGGACACAATATATCTAGACCGAGCGTTTGCCTTTAGCTCTGAGCAGTGGGGGTGGAGTTTCACGTAGAAAAGGACAAACTCTGTTTTGTGCTATTTTTCGCATTATTTATGCTTCATCGCGTGCGAACGAGAGAGAACGAAACAGCACAAAACGGAGTTTGTTCTTTACTATGTGAACATCTACCCCCACTGCTCAATGCTCGGCCTAGATACAGTGTGTCTGTGCAAGTTCCTAATATGAGATAGCGGGGCTTCTGTTAAATTAACGAGCCTCATCTATTGGTTCCAACATGAATCTATTGCTCTTGAAGCAAACTCTGTTTAGCGGAAAATTGATTGTTAGATCGCGTGATCGTTGCGAAAGAAGATTTCTCATTGAATTTGGACGTTGAAAATCTGCTATCTCATATTAGAACCGTCTCGTAATAGAGGACTTTACGCGCAAAATGATTTCTTTCCCGTGCGACCGCACGCTAGTGACGGACGCGGCCGCGATCAGGGAGAGGTTTCTGACGACCGGCTGCGCGAGGCTGGACGCGAAACTCGGGGGCGGCGTACCCTGCAGGGGTGTCACGCAGATTTACGGCGCCGCCGGCACCGGGAAGACGCAGCTGGCCCTACAGCTATGCCTCGCCGTCCAACTGCCGACAACCGCGGGCGGCCTCGGAGCTGGTAACGCTCGAAAAGCAACGCAAATGAGGGCCAGTTTCACAAACGTTAACTGTTAACCGAATGTTACTTGACGCTCTGTCTCTTCTTAGATAATAAGATAGATAAAGATAGAGTTGACTGAACTCAGTGGGTCAATTCTGCATCTTGCATACTGTGGTGAAAATGCTAAAAGTGAGTAGCTCTGTCTGTTTCTAACTGTCCCCTTAGAAAGCGACAAAGCCGTTCACTTTTAGCATTTTCACTATGTTGCAAGGTGCAAAATTGACCACCTGGTCAAACGACGTTTGTGAAACTGGCCCTAAAAGGCTTTCCTCGCGACGCGACACTGCATCTTCAAGTTCTTGATAAGAGTATTGCGTCTTTGCGTATTTTTAGACGCTTTCGATGCGTTTAAAAGAAGATAATTCGATCAAATATTATTAAATTTGTGTGGACGATAGAGTTGTACTTTGAATCCTTTTTCTCTCGACTATCTGGAATCCTCTTCAAATATTTATATGCTATTGCGAAATGTTCACGGTGGGATCATCGACGTTTACAGGTGCCATATATATTTGTACGGAAACTACTTTCCCCTCGAGACGGTTGCAGCAACTGCTGAGAAACTCGGAGTTAGTCAAGGCTCATTCTGTGAATGGAGATGTGATATTTGTGGACCACGTAACCACGACTGTAATTAAAATATGTTATCTATAATAATTGAGAGGCGATGGCCCGTATTCTGAACCCTCTCTTATCAATAAAAGCGCCTCTAAACGTGGCTAATAAGTCTTTCGATTGGCTACGAGCAACTATTAGAGGCGCTTTTGTCGATAAGAGAGAATACCGAATACGGACCAATGTATAGATTATACCGTTAATTGCACTGTCGACTTGCTAACGAATGTTGAAGGAAGAACTGGTGTTGTGCCTGCGACGCAAAGTCCCAGCGCTGATGAACGCTCATAAGATAGGACTGTTAATCATCGACTCGATAGCCGCCCCTTACAGAGTAGAGGACTGGCAGGACCAGCTACACGGCAAATCTAAGAGGCTCATCGGCCGACAGTTACACGAGCTTTGTAAAAACGATGACCTGTGCGTGATCTGCATCAACCAGGTAAAACGCAATTTCGCGCACGCAGTTGTATCGCGTTGCCGATACATTTCTTTTTTAGGTTTCCGCGGTCATAAATGGTCACAGACTCATCTCCGAGGACGCGAATGAGCAGCCGGCTCTAGGGTTCACGTGGTCGAGTATGATAACCACCTCTATACACTTTTACCGAAGGCTCTCCCAGCGATACGCCTGCGTGATGCTGGCCTCGCACTTGCCGAGAATCACCTTCCAGTTCGAGGTGAACGAATCTGGTGTCGGGGCGACTCAATAAATCTGTGTTACCGCAAAACGCCTTGGTTTTATTCCACAAGTTTGCGTATTTCGTGAAATATGTTCTCGTCCAAGATTTTTGTTACACTCGTCGCTTTGTAATCGGACAGTGCAGAGGCGTCAAACGGATCCGCCGTTCTCACGTCTATATTTTCGATATCACAGTTCAATATTAACCTTGAAAGTAAAACGCAGTTGTTAATAGAGGCAAATATGTATCTCAAAGCTGTATGTGGCGATTTAATTGTACCTAAAAGAATGGAGGTAGGTTCTGCGAGGTTCCACGTCCTTGCCTTCGCTGTACGTGTAGTCTCCTATGACTGTGTGGCCGATATGATGGCAATGCACTCTCAGCTGGTGTCGTCTACCTGTGCCAGGCGCCAGCAGGATCTTAGTGGCGGGCTTGCTTCTCCAAAACCCACGTTCCAGCACTACCAGCGTCGTGTGGGACCTGCGAGGCTTGTCGCAGAAGGCACTGTCGCTCGTGCACATCTTGTGATTGCCAGCCATCTCCCGGATGTCAGCACCTGGACCGAGGAGGAGACTGCGGTGAGGTCGTCGCCAGGTTACGGCTGTTACAACGTCGCGCGGTCGCGATTTCCTAACCAATCGGCTTGTCGATGACGATGTGGGGCTCGTGTATGTGGCCGTGCACCAGCGCCAGGTAGAACTTGTGCACCTTGTGATTCTCGAAGGCGGACGACGCCGCCCGGGCCGCCCGTTTGTTCAACGCTATGCACATGACGCCGCTCGTGGGATAATCCAGCCGGTGGACGAAGTGGAACTCGTGGCACAGCCGCGGATTGACCAGGTCCGGCAGCATCTCCCGCAGCTCCGTCTGAAGGGTATTCTGAAAGCGTCAACGCCTGGATTTACGGACACGTTAATCGCCCCGCCTCGAAAACACTAGGCCTTGGGCCCCTTACCTTTCTGTCGGGATTATTGCTATTTATGTACATGTCGTAGGGCTTGTCGACTATTAAAAAGTTCTCGCTGCGATGCACGATCCTGACCGGCCTGTGCCTCTCCTGCCAGTCGTTCGCCAGTCTCTTGATGTACGAATGTATCAGGCGAATTATCGCGCACGTGAGATTGCAGACGACCAGCGTGCACGTGTGTAAGAATCCGTTTACGTTTACGCCAGCCATTGCGGGGCAAGATATTTTATCTCTGCTCCGGACGGTGTTTCCACGTTGCGGCCATTTTCAGCTGTTCACGTGTGCGTGCACACGCAGAGCGGACGTTGCATACACACGCGCACAGTGCATGAAGAGCGCATACACACGTATGTATGTATGCATGTATATACATAGTGCATCTACAAATTTCACATTTGTATTGTAAATTAGTTTTTCTATCTTACGCTAATCTTTCAGCTTTAACGAAGGAATAATTCCGTAAGGAATGCTACGCGTGTATACTATGCGGGGACGCATTTCCACGCGCGAGCCTGCGCGATGTAACAGGGATGCGAGAATGCGCAAGATGCGTGAGAACGCAATGAATGCATACCTTTTCCGTCTCTCTTCGGGTAAGTGGAGAGAAATTCGATTTTCGTTTTACTCTTACGTTGTTTCTTCCTTGTTTTTAACTTTTTTTTCGCTCTATCCAGTTTTTTAAATTCCTGATCAACTATTCCACGTGATAATGCGCACTGTATGAAAAATTGATTGCACAAAGTCAGTGAAGATGTATTAATATACTATTAACATAAATTATATTTTTATTAATATATAATATCTGTATTAATGAACGCACGTCTCCTCCATCGAATCTCTTTTCAAAGGAATTAAGAAGACTTGGCTTTTTCGTCCCGTATTCTCAAATATATTGTACGTTTTCTTTATTCTTAAATTCTCTTCTTCCCTATTCTTAACTTCTTTGCTCCCTCCAATTTTTCAAATCTCTAATCGACTATTGTAATGTATATGCCTGCTGTATAAAAAAAAACTCTTTACAGAGTCAGTGAAAAGGTAACAGGTATGAGTCGAAGAAGCATTTTGACTTATGTTATTGGAAATAAGCGATGCAATACATTTGCAATAATAACACGGTGTCTTTTTACTATCGATAAAGTTTGCCAAAAAGTGCGGGGGATCGTTGCGTTTTCTGATAATAAAAATTTCCACTTTTTACCGTCGCGACGGTACGCGTCGTCGAGCTACCGCGGATAATTGACGACGATCGAGACGCAGTGTAGAGATTTGTATGCCGACATAAGACGACTATGTTCTCATTTACACAAGTGACACAAAGCCCGCGAGACCGAGAGATGCGTATCTACAGAGGGATCGTGTGTGCCACACACAAAACATCTCGCGACGTGTATTCACACAAAGAGATTGCGTCTGGCCGTGTCTGCTCAACAGAAAATGTAATCGAGCGATCGCGAGCGAGCTAAGGGATTTTTCTCATTACATCATGCTTTATTTGTTGCACTTTAACGCCTCCACGCAGTCGAAGAATCAAAATGCGAAGATAATAATTTTACGCAAGAGTAAATTCCGATTATCATGAACTCATCGTTCAAATCAATCAAGTATCTATTATAATATTTATATTTAAAACAGGAACTGCATTATTTAATTTTAAATATAGAATTTTTGCACTTTTGTATTCTTCGCTGAGAAATATAGGAAAGTTTTCTATTATGAGACAGTTTCCGCTAAATTAATAGGCATCATCTATTGGTCCCACCATGAATTTATTGCCCTTGGAGTGAAATCTGTTTAGTTTAGAAAATTGCTTGTTAGATCGTGCAATCGTTGCGAAAAGAGATTTGTGATTGAATTTGGACGTTGAAAACCTGCTATCTCATATTAGAATCCTGTCTCATAATAGAATACTTTTCTTTACATATATGATTTCATTCTGCTGAGATTTTAATCGAAATAACATTAATCGACGTTAGAGAAAGATAAATCGGAAACATTAATGAGCGCTTAGAGAGTGACTTCATGTTATCTCGAGCGCTTATTTGGTGCTCCGTGTGCAAACGTATGCACGTGCATGCGACGTCGTCCGGGGAAAATTTGTGCAATCCGAGCATTCGTACCGAATGCAGGTGACGGTAGCGGCGGCACGCTGGATGAGATGGGGGATACGTTATGCAAGTTTGCGCCACACAGGTCTATTGCGTCAAAGCTGATCGCTCTATGCGCGGAGAAGCCGGGACGTTTAGGCTTTTTATAATTGGAGGATATACATTTCACGTGCATGTCATCGGCATCTAAACACGACGACCATGGAGGAGCAGAAGTCGGCAAACTTTTCCTGTAAAGACAAACAAATATTTTAAACAATAAAACTGATAACGCTCTGACGTAATCACAATTCGAAGAAATAAACTAGTAGAGTTTCGTGCTGATTTTTACAAAATTGTACATTTTCATGAAATATTACTTGCAATAATTTCTTGATTTGAGAACATTGTAATTTGTGGTACTATTTCGTAGATATTTTTACAAAACAATTAATGATTCAACCCAGTTATAAAAATTTCTACAAAAAATTTCTATTTCAAGTCAATTTTTCGTAGTTATTTATAGAAATTCTCTCCGCTGGGTACCAGAGTGTAGACTCGGCGTCATGAATGATCATTTTATTAAAATAAATTTTCCTATTGCACATCTTTAGCGTCTTCCTTTAAGTTTAAAGTGTACAGTTTGGTATATATACGAAACAGTCGCCAAAAATCGCCTATTGATCTCAATGCACGCGGGCTGTAGTTCTCCGGTTTGACATCGCGAAGCTTAGGAAAAGACGCGGACCGAGAATACATTTTTTACGTTCTTCCGTGTGCGGCGGTACATCGGAGCGATATATCAAGGATCGCGTCAAAGGCTCCACGCGAGACGATTTAGAGGCGCTCCAGATGATTACGAGTTAACGATTCGCGGCGCAACGCTGACGGGAGTCGCGATCGGCGAGATATAGAGCGCGAATCTGCTCGTGAGCATACGCTTACTTATACGCCGATCCGGCTCTCTTCCATCGATCCCGTGCAGCATCTTGTGACACACTTGCGTCGAACGTTGCTGTAAATCTTGCCGATTGCACCAAACTATGATCTAGAAACGCGGATGAGCCCCGGGATATATAAAGAGCGGCGCGGGCCTCGTGTTTGTCATTCCCTCGAGAAATCCATCTCACGCTGGAAGGGTAGCGACGTGAGGCAGGGAGAGCGAGTCTCCCTCGGAGGGATAAAGTAACAGAAATTCGATTTTCCTTTTGCCACTGGAGAAACACCATGGGAGCCGTCGATATGCTTAAGGTGAGAAGAAATGATACTCTGCCGGAAATAATTCTACAAAATATAACTGCCAGAATCTAAGAAATTCTACGTAAATTTTTTAAGTGTTATAAAAATCAACATGAAAATGCCAGAATCGGAACACTTTTGTTAATCTTTGTAATATTCTACAAGCAAGCAGATGTTTTAATTCTTTAAGATCTTGTTGTTCCTTAAGTTTTTTAAACTAGCAAAGTTTTGTACTAATTTTTACAAAGTCGTACTTTTTCATGAAATACTACTTGCAGTAATTTCTTGATTTGAGAACATTTGTGGTACTATTTCGTAGATATTTTTACAAAAAAATAAATGTTTCAACGAAGGTATAAAAATTTCTATTTTAAGTCAATTTTTGTAGTTATTTATAGGAATCTTTTCCGCTAGGGTAGCTTCATAACGTTTACGAGATACGAAGATACGGATATAGTTTTGAATATATCTGAACTCAGAAATGATTTTACGGAGAACTCGATCGCGGAATTTACGAGTTTATTTGTTTCGGACATCGATAAGAATAACTAAACTCATTGTCAGACTATAAATGTGACTTTCAAAGAGATCTATTTTTGACATTATAGTTACTTTATCTTGACAAAAGAATAGTTCGCATAGAAGAGTTTAACATGTTATAAATTGATACAATGACGTAATAAAATTAATTACGTGGCACAGTAGAAATCATAATTTCAAACGCCGTTGAAATAAGTTTACTGCCATTTGATACAAATTTGTAAAATTTTTCAAGACTCGCGTTACAATAGCGCATTTGCAGTTATAGCTGAATTGCTTGTCACAGATCAGTGGGACGACGTTTATTATGATGTTGGCTGTGGTGCGTCCGGAACCTCCGGTCAATTCGTATCTACCTCCAAGAGCGGGCACCTCCGGCGCGAACGGCGGTCGAGCCGATCCGTCCACGCAGTACGGGACCCCGGATTTCAATAACGGGGGTGGCGTTAATAGGAACGGTGGCGCAACAAGTTTCGGCGGGCCCGGCGGTAACGGCGCAGGTAATGGTCCGTCGAAACTTTACGATGCACCCATTGGGGGAAGCGACGGCGGAAATAGTCTGGGTCAGGTCCGAGGAAACGGATTTGGGGCTAGGCAACCCTCTGACTCTTACGGCGTTCCCAACGGGGGCTTTGGTGAGAACCGAGGAAAGCCGTCCACTAGCTACGGCGTTCCCGGCACAAACGGCGGGGGCGGTTTCGGAAACGTGGGTAACGAAGGAAGGCCATCGACCAGCTACGGCGTTCCCGGTGCGAATAGAAACAACGGGGGTGGTTTTGGTAGCGCAGGCAACGAGGACAAGCCATCGACTGGCTACGGCGTTCCCGGTGCGAGCGGGAACAACC